CCGTACAAAACGAACTGCAATTATGAGACCATGAAATATTATGGTAAACAGTTTTAATTACAATTGCATTGAATTGAATGTTCTTCCTGTCCAATTACAGTGAAGCCGCTGGTGGTGAAAATCCAGGACCCGCCCAGCTCGATGATTGCCGATCGTCGCTACGAGGTTTCCTGCGAGTCCTCCGGCTCCCGGCCGAATGCCATCATCACTTGGTACAAGGGAAAACGCCAATTACGCCGCACAAAGGTGAGAGGGTGACACTGGAATGGGAGTGGAAATGGGAGTGGGAGTGGGATTGGGTTAGATGGCTTTGGTTTTGTGGACTAGATTGGAGTGGGTGGGAATGACCGCAATCGACGCAGCTAGTTGGCTCTCTCTCTGCTGCTGCTGCTGCTGTTGACTGACTCACGTTCAGCTCGATAACTTATTGTGTTTGCACAGTCATGCCAAACAAACGGAGCTCGTAACTCGTGGCCATCAGCCCCCTTCCCATCTCCGCCGGCACAATCATCGCAGGATATGGTGCAGGGACAGACATGACCTGCCACCACCCACTTGTTGTGCCTGGGCGTGGTTCACACTCGCAGCTGCGTCCTAGACCCCCCCAGACACCACCACCCACAACTTGGTTAGAATAAACACAGATAATGTGATATAAACTCCACAATACACAAACGATTCTAGTACGCTTTTGCATTTTCCTTTGGCTCTCCCACTTTTTGCTCCCTTTAACTATGTGAGGGTATCATCAATATTAACAAGACTATGGACTGACTATAGGGAATAGTAAAGAATATTATTTTTCTACATTGCTCCTTAACTCTTTAAAGCTTTTAAATTAAATCTGATATTTATTAAACTTGAGTCAGGACCTCTCTTTATCTGGTTTTTCAAACAATGTTCCAGAGAGCCTAGAAATAGTAGAGGCTTAAAAGCTATGCTGTCTTTTAATCAACTCTTTTATGTTAGTATAAATTTCTAAATAATACTCAAATTTAAATACTTCTCTCATTTCGTTTGCTTCTAAATCGTTAGTATTTTCTACATCAAAAAAATTCCCTAGGGTATACGAAAGATTGCTATTCTAAGCCGGGTTGGCTGTGTGTGGTTTTGTTTTCTTTTTTTAATTTTTTTTCCCCTCTAACTTTGGACAAATTTATGGGAGTTTTGGTGCAATTTTGTTGCAATTCATTTTTGTGTGCCGGGACCTCGAGTCGAGTTTTGCTTTGGCATATCCTAGCCGGGCCTCTCAGGTCTGGCTCGTTGTTTATGTCCGTGTCTATCCGCCTATATATACAGATATATGTATATATGTTAGCTGATTGCTTTGCCGTTTTGGTCTGGGCCGGGGCAAATGTTTTTTAAAGACCGGAAATGTTTTTCAGTAGTTTTCATGTAGCATAAAGTTGCCGTAATGCGGCAGAGTCCGCACTCCACTCATTCCTCGATGTCCTGGGTTGTGCCATCCAACATGTTTTACATGCCTTTTCGTACCCTACTTTGGGGTTTCTAATATGGTGTCTGGTGGGTGTTCTATGTAGCCAAGGACCTCGAGGCATTAATCAAAGCCCCGCAGACAGTCTAATTGAGAAGTTTAGCCTGCGAACGTAAATAGTCTGTGCCAAAAGGGGAAAGCCCGGAGTGTTGAACAATAAATATTTATAAAATATTTCAAATAGATGTTTTAAAGTTGATCAAACAGAACGAAAGGAGGTATTTTTTTTTTGTTAATTCAAAATATAGAAAGTACAGGTGAAATTGCTTCATAGAGTATACTTTTGAATTTACTAATTTCTAACTATATAATTTAAATTCAGATTAGATATAGAAATAACTAAAATTAAATACAGTGAGAAAGTTAAATACTTTCTACTTGTATTATGTAATACTTTTTTGTATATTTAAGGCCACAATACTTTTTTAATGGAACCTTTTGAGACTGTCTAATACTATCCATTTTCTGATGATTTTACTTTACTAATTTTACTAAAAACAAGCAAACTTCCTAAAGTGTTTTTGTTAGTATAAATTTCAACGTTTGCAACATCTTTTACCAATACTATAATTTTTCTGACGCATTACAAGCTTGAATCAAAAAGTAGGTTAGGAAAGTTATTAAAGAAAGTCTACAAAAGAATAAAAGTTGATTTTAGGGTTGCAAGGGATAAATATTAAAAGAAAATATCAGAGTTTTTCTAGAAGCACAATCAAAATGACCTCCAGTCACCAAAAAATAATTGAACTTAACGTCCAATCGATCATATTTTTACCACCGAGTGGAGGGATTTATGTGGCTACTAACTGCCAGCACTTTAACACCCACAAACCGCCAGCCTGCATCACATATCTCGGCAAAAGCCCTGCCTTAGAGCAATTCCAGCAATGTGTGAACTGTTTACTGGAGGAGGAATGAGGGGGAAAACCCTTTATGGTCCTGGCAACTATGGGGGAAAGAACGAAGCTCAACTAATTGTGTGACGCCTTTGCTGGTGTCCCTGTCTGCCATTAAATTTATAATACCCCGCAAGCACATACGCGTACACACACCCTCACGTGGCACATAAAACCCGAACAAACACACTAATAAATTTTAAATTGCAAACATAAAATATTTCGACAAATTTGTAAGCAAAAAAGCACAAAAGGGGCCAAACCGAAAAAGGAAATTCTGGCCTGAGGCAGGGTCTGAGAGCCTCAGTCTCGACTCAGTCCGGGCCGGCGGGGAGAACTTAATTAATGCAGAAACATTTTCTTATATTTTCTGTGCACTTTTCCTCCTTTTTTATTTTGTTCTTTCTCTCTTACAGGACGACATATCAAAGAACTCGACACGCTCCGAGCTGAGCTTTGTGCCGACCACAGACGACGATGGCAAATCGATAACATGCCGTGCGGAAAATCCAAATGTGAATGGCCTGTATTTGGAGACCATGTGGAAATTGAATGTCGTTTGTAAGTATTACAAATTGTGCTTAAGTCTAAAGTATGAGCGAAGCGGCGGAAGGTCTCAAGAAGAGGAGGGAGCCCCCAAGAAAAACCATTGCCGACAGCTACCAAAAGGTAGACAGTCCTGGTAGCCCGGGACAGAACCAGGACCAGGCTGAAATTTATTACGTCGGCGATGTCGCCATCGCCATCGCTGCCGTTGAAAGCCTTTAAAATGCAAATAAATCAAAGACAAATGACAAATTGTGAATAATTTGCCAAAGGGCCAAAACAGCGTAGTCGGTCGGTAGGGACATCACCAAGGGGGGCGCTGTGACTACAAATGAAATATGTGGGCTAACAAAATATATGGTAGTCGCTTAAATTAAATGAAGGACTTTTGAAGTGGCCCCATCCCCCTGTCCCCATAAAAATAAATAAAAATAACTTGGCAAAGTGCGGAGATACGAAATTGGGTCCCAAAATTGTTTTACCGCCATCAGAATTTACCTGCAAGTTTAATGAAATCTCTCAATAATTGTAAGTCCCACCGTAAGCCACTTCAATCCGTGTTCCATGGCCCCAACATAGCCATCAGGGACGTACTGCGGACATCGTAAAGTTCGTGGCCAAAAGGTGTTGGCCGGGAAGAGAGTCAAACTCAATTGCGTTACGTATACGCCACGTTGTGTGTGTGCGAATGTTTTTTTCGCCTTTGATTCGAGGGCATCACGTAATGGCATTTTCTTTTACTTTTCGTTTGTTAAAATATGAATATTTTGTTAACTTCAATCTGAAATGATGCCACACGGTCCCCCGTCAAGAAATTACTGGTTACGCCAAAACGAAATTCCCCTGAGCGCATATGACTGTATAGATATATACATTTGTGTATATAGCGTAATATAATTATATTTTTTATGCGCCACACATACTTTACAGGCCCATATTTTATGATTTAGAATTTTATATTTTATTTGTTTGTTTTTTTTTCTTGTTTTGGCCACGTTAAAGCGATTGCTGCTTGTTTTTTGTTTTGTTTTTTGCAGCTACGTTGGCGCAAATAAAGTTTATGATAGGCACGTACAGAAACAACAAACTCATATAGTACACACACCGGTGTGTGTGTGTGTCTGCTCAACTGTTTGTGCCTTGGGAAAGCTCTGATGCTCCGGCAGAGTCTGTGTTTTTCCAGAAAATTCCAAAGAGCAGAGTGTGTTTTTTAATTTTCTCACAAATACCTCATGTTTATAATGCTGGAAAGCGAAGACTGCCAAATCAAGGATAACAAGACATTCCTATTCCTTTTTTCTCTACTATTTTAAACTTATTATTAAAAAAATATGATTATCTATGAATTAGAGAAGTTTCAGTGTTTTTGTCTACTTATAGATAGCTAAATTTAAACAATTTGATTGATAAATGATGCCTTATCACCAACAACTTCTGAGAGTATAATTAAAATTGGATACTGATTTTCCCTGTAAATTTCTTCAAGTGACACTGTTTTTAATTTAAGCACATGTAGAATTTATATGCTTTGTAATTTTTTATGTCTCTGTTGTTTTTGTTGTCCCCCCATGCGATATCTGCATCACGCGTGAGTTATTATGCCAACTGCGTTTTGGCTTCTTAGGCACGACATTTGCCAAGGCCATTTGGTCATGCTTTATGCCAATTGTTGCCCTCCCCTCCGCACTCTTCTGGCCATCCTCCGACTGCCATTGTATATTTTGTTTATATCTCGCATGTGTGACACGCTCCTTTTAAAATTTATAATGTATCCAAGGGAGGAAGGTCTCCTCCTCTAGTTGGTCTCCTAGCAATGGCAACAAGACAGAACATGCAATGCAATCACAGACGCTCTGCAGATTCCCCCAAAGGAGTGCAGGACTGAAATAGAATCTGTACAGTACAAAAAATTTAATAAACCTCAATCAAGAATCATATAAAATATAGCAATGAATTTATATGATTTCATAAAAGTGATGCTTCGTGACTCACATCTTTATTTTAGAAGAAACAAAGTTAAGAAGACGGTTAATTAAAGTGTAAGATGTTTTTATTAATTTAATGTAAAAAATAAGTAGTTTAAATGTTGTAAAAAATTAAATCCAATATCGAACAAGTCCTTGAATTCATGTATGCAAAGTGTTTTCTGAGAGATATGGTAAATGTTCCTGTCCGTATAAAATATTTTAGTTACTTGACGATCACTAAGAATTGAATTATAAATGTAAATCGCTTTTATACCTAATTTGTGTGCATTTTTGTAAGCAATTCTTTCGAGTAAGAGCAGATAAATTCTCCCAGTGTACGTGTAGAGCAGCCCTCGCAACAATACATATGAATCACATACGCACGCAGACGGGCTGTAAGTGTCTGCCCGTATGTGCTTTTGTGGCCATTGTTTATGACCGGGAGCTGCTCCATGTCCCTGCTCCGTGTCCCTGCTCCAAATCCTTGCTCCGTGTCCCTGCTCCTCGGCGGCTGGTGGAGCGTGCCTGGCATTTTTGAGAAGGGAAAGCTTACGGCATGTGTATTGCAGTGAATGCCACGATTTGAGTTGATATTTTTAAAGTGGCAATAGAAACCGGCTAAAGGCGCACCCGGCATGGCATGGGAAGGATGGCCTCGCCAAATATTAATAGCTCTCCACGATAGAGCCGCGGGACAATTCGGTCACCAGGCAATCGTAGACGCTCTGCGGCACCACAGTGCCCACAATTTTCTTGTTCACATTGGTCTTGACGCGTATGATCTGGATCTTGTGACCGCTCTTCGCTAGTATCACCTCGATCCGGTCCCAGATGGGCAGCATGAGTCCGGAGAGGACGTGGTAGGGACGCACACGGAGTCCTACCTCGCAGCCCGCTGGGAAGGGACAGATGCGGTTCCAGAAGATGTGCGAACACTTGTTCAGGCACACATCGTACTGATGCTGCCAGAAGTTGCGAGCCTCCTCCGGCTCCACCTTCACGTAGCGCTGCAAGATGGACCCGAGCGTCTCCAGGCGCACCTGGGGCCCCGTGTTGGGGCGGTAGAGCTGCAGGCTGATTTTGTTGGGGGAGTTGTTGGAAGATCGCTGCCGGACATTGGTCATGACCTGCAGGCATAGAATAGCAGAGTTCTTGTTGTGGCGCAATTGCTGCAGCACGTAGAAGCCTTCGTGCTCGTGGCGGCCCTCCTTGCGGTACCTAAAAAGGAACAGAGAACAGGTTAAATGGGGGTCTATATTCAGTTTGAGGTATAAACTCACTTGGCCAAGGCCGTATCATAGGACATGCCACGCTCCACAGTTACTGTGTGAAGCTCGGTGGCTGCTGTTCCAGTGGCATGCTTCCGGATAAACCTCATCAGTCTGACAGACTTCACACACGCACCGTGTGCGTCTAGGTCAAGGATGCCCAGGTCGAAGTTGCCCTTGCGTTTCATGTGTAGAATCAGAGAGTACATCTTCTCCAGGAAGAACTTGAACAGGGCGTTCTGCACTTCCACGCGACAGCCAAGGATTCGGTTGAGGAACTTAGATATATTGTTGCTGTCCTTCTCCACGGAGAACAGTTTCACCTTGTTCTCCTCGCGGACATTGAGCATCCCTACACCCGCCATGGCCATGCTGCAGTCGTAGAGGAAGTCACCTTTGTAGGAGGCAGGCACACTGGCATGATCCAGTGGCTTCTCTCCGGTTAGTTGCTGCATCACGTTCTCGAGGGCACTACGCCCGATGCTGTTGTCGATATTGAACTGAGAAAGATCTCGGGCATCGGTGGCCCGACGATCTCCCTGGGTAAGGGCACCCAGACTCTCCAACCGCTTGGCCACCGTAGAAGCGAAGCGCCGTTCACCGGCCAGGTCCGTGATGACAAAAACGTACTCCGGCGAATTGACCTGGTTGGAGCGATGCGTTCGACCGAACTGCTGTATGGCCCGGTCGGCGCTCCACGGCAGCTCCAGGGTGATGTGAAGTCGTCGTCGCTGATTGGTCACACGTTTGTCGCTTTGCAGTGAAATTCCGCTGGAGGCCGCCTCGGAGATGATGGCCACGTTCTTTTGGCCGAGCATGAACCGCTGCTTCTCCCGGTAGTTCACCAAATCCATTGAGGTGTCGCTCTCACAACGCGGCTCATACTTGTAGCCTTCGAACTCGGCACGGACCACTCTGCCCCGGCGGCCGGTCATTTCGGCCACCAGTTTGGTGCCACCCAGCTCCGAGATAAGCTTGTCGAGCGTGTTGGAAGGCATGCGGCGACCCAGGACCTCGATCTTGTCCAACAACATCTCTCTTGCCCTGATGCATCGCTCCACATCGTGCTCGGTGATGTTGGCCTTCTGCATCTTTGCGCTGTCGAAGGCGTATGAGCCATCGGCATCGTTGTCCTGGGCCCGCATATTGTGGCACAAATGCTGCAGGATCCGCTCCTGCATGGTTATCTTTTCAGCTACACGAAGGAAGAAAGTTGTATTAGTTGATTAGAATACAATCATGCACTTAAAAACTTACCCTTTTCGGTTTTTGGCGGTCGTCCTCGCCTCTTTCGTCCTGGTTTCATCCGTTCATTTTCCTGTGACATGGTACTCTCGTACATCTCGATATCGCTCTCTGCCGCCTCGGCATCCATGTCATCGTCGAACCAATCGGCATTCATTCTGGCCTTCTTGGCACGCGGCGGACGGAATCGGAGCTCTGGCACAAACTCTCCAGTGTTCAGAAGACGGTGGAAAGAGTCGCGCTTCGGTGCCGGAAAGTGCTTCTCCACGAAGGATTGGATAATCATTTTCGAGGTGGACACAAAGGAGCCCAGCTTGCCGTTGTGACGCTCAAGGTGCTCAAGGGTACGCGATTCCCCCGTCGACTGCAAGCCGATGACCACCGCCTTGCCCATCCGCGTGGCCTGTCGGGTCATCCTGACCACGTGATTCACCTTCGAGGCAATGCAGAGGTTCTTGAAGAACCGCTGATGGGCGCACCAGAACTGGCAGGTGATGATCTTTTGCACACGGGTCTCGATGCACATCAGCTTGCAGGCCTTTAGGAACTTTTTGTTGATTTCCGCCCACAGTTCAGCGGCGAGATTGTATGTCTTTCGGAACTCCTTTGACATGATCACCTCCTCGATGCGAAATGTCACATCCTTAAAGCTGAGCTGCCGGGCAATATAGGTGCCCCTGAGCTTCATGTCCATGGCCACAATCTCCATTGCTCCAATGCCGCGTTTCTCCACCGAATTGACAAACTCGAAGAACTCCCCGTAGGCGGTCCCAGGGCCCCAAAGACCCAGACGCACCATATAGGCCATGTTCCTGGGCTCGCTGGCCCCCGTGGCTGAGGCATAGACCACTCTGGCATGCGGCAATAGCTTTTGCAGCTCCAGCACAGTAGTGCCCGTCTTTGTGGACTTGCCTACGTTCATGAGGCTCAAATTCTTTGCCTTGTGGCACTCGTCGAAGACTATTACCCCATCGAACTTCTTGCCCAGCCAGTTGACCAACTGACGCAGTCGAGTCTTGTACTTGCAGTTGCCCGTCATGGATTCGCCGATGAGTGCCGTGTATGTGCAAAATATCACGCCCTTCTTGAAGTTCTCGTTGTCCTCGGAGTCTATGCGACTATACTTGAACTTGTTGATGGCCACCACTGGGATCTTGTCTTCGGCACCGATGTCATGAATATCCCGCTCGGCGTCAAACTTTAGGTCATTGGAAACGGAGACCCAGAGGGCTTTCTTTCTGCCCTTCAAGTGATTGTCATAGATGATCCCGGCAATGGTCCTGCCTTTTCCCACACCGGCTCCGTCACCCAGCAGAAAGCCAGCACGCTCACCGCTGGGCAGGATCTGCTCGTGAGCTTGGCAGGCGTAGACCACCGCCTCCAGTTGCAGGGCACTCAGGCAGCTGGTGGTCCTTGCGGGCAAACTCAGCTCGTAGGTGATGTCGGGCAGTTCCACCGAGGAAAGCGTTGCCGTTTCCACCACGGGATCTGGATGAGCCACTCCAAAATTTAGCTTACTGGGCCAGTATTCCGCGAAAGTGTCGGCCACTCCGATTTCTTCGTAATCGACTTCCTCATCCTCGACAGCCTGCCCGGTTGGCGCAATGATACTGGCAGGATCCTTGAGCCCGAGCTCTTCTTCATGACCGCCAGGCACTATCATTGGCAGGGCCAAATAAGGCTGTCCACTCTGCAGTATCTGATGCAACTGGGCAGCCGTCAGGCTCTGCAACTCGTTCATCTGAGCATGCGACATGTTTGGGGATGTAGTGGACACACTGGTGACAAGCCCGTCTGGGGCAGTGGTATAGGTGAGGGACATAATCTGACCCTGAAGACCAGTTACCTGGGCGACCATCGGCACTTGGGACATGGGACGCTGATTGTTCCTGAACCCTGGATGGTGTGGTGGTGGTCTCTGAAGAGTTCCCAAGTTGACCATCTTCATGGGCCTATTAGCCGGAACGGTCGGTGCCGCTTTGGGCAGATTGGTGGTAGGAGGAACTACCTGTTTTGGCACTGGATGATTGCTTGGCTGTGCTGCCTGCTGGGCAGGGTTTTCAAACGAGTTGAAAATTTTCTCCACAAAATCGTCGGCCTCCACAGGTGCCTCTATAAACGGCAAGGAATCGAGTTCCGCCTGCAGGCGAGCATCCATTGCAGCGTCCTCCTCATCGACGGGTTCTGATTCCTGCTCCGCTGGCTCGGAGTTTGTTCCGCCACCCGAAAGTACCGAAGCGAGTTCAGCCTCCAAGCGGGCATCCCTGGCCGCATCCTCCGCACTAATGTTTTTTGGTACTGATTGTGCATAGTGATTGATAAACGTACCATCGTACTGATTATTTGATTGAGAGCTTCTTGGCAAGTCCTCCTGTTTTGTTTGGTCCATGAAGCCACTGTGATATGGCTGTGATCTCTGGCCATCAGAAAAGTTTGGGTTCATCACTGGGTCTTGATCGAAATTATCGTACGGATCGTCAGGATCATCTGCTTCAGTTTTGATCGGCTTCAATGGGGTAGGAAAAAACTGACGATCTGAAAATTGATCTTCAACTTCCTGTTTTAAGACCGGTTTCTTTAGAGTGGGAAACAACTGACGACGACACTTTGTGATCCCCTGAGCTTCTGTTTTGACAACCGGTTCCGGGTTATTTAGGGTAGAAAAGTACTGCTGTTGTAACTCTGGGTTTTGAATTTCCTCAATGTTAATACTATTCGGATCGAATTGGGTCGAGTCTTGATATTCGTTTGTCATGGGAGTGTCCGAATTGTATTGGGTGCAAGAATCGTCATCATTGCTAAGCTTGCTCGTATCAAAATTGGACCAACTCTCGAGTTCTATATCGATATCGATATCTGGTTAGTCATCTTGTAATTTCTTGCTAAAGAAATGCTTACCTTCTTGCAGGGCACTGGACTGATTAGGGTCATGAAGGACGTTCATAATATCGTAGTCAAAAAAGCCTGGGGCTATAATGAAATAGATAAGTGAGGTCTTCACTAACCAATTTGAGAGAAGAACTACTTACGGAAAAGACTTTCCGCGGGGGGACTCGATACATTTGCTTGGGTATCAGAGTTGGAATTGATTTCGGTGGGATTTGGTGTTGTCGGTGGAATTAGTGGAGCTGAGGAGGGAGCTACAATAAAAATGATTGATGGTGATATTCTGAATATATGTATATTATGGTAACACTTACTAGGAGCCATGTTAAGTGAATCATAAGTGTTACAGCTTGTCTCTTGAATGGGAACCGAGTTGTTCAAGCCATGGGAGCCGCTTGGCATAGGGTATTCGGAATGTTGCACTCCGCTATCGGAGAAATATTTGTCATTGCAATTGACCAACGAGTTCGACTGTGATATGGCGGGATCGGGATTGAATTCGATGGGTTTTGGAATCTCTTGAATGGGAGCCGAGTTATTCAAACCATGGGATCCGCTTGGCATAGGGTATTCGGAGTGTTGCACTCCGCTATCGGAGAAATATTTGTCATTGCAATTGATCAACGAGTTCGACTGTAATATGGCGGGATCGGGATTGAATTCGATGGGTTTTGGAATTTTCTGTGTAATTGGGGGCGCTGCCAAGGGAGCTAAAACGAGAACGTTTGATAGTGATGAGGCTTTCTCTAACCCATTAAGGCAAAACGCTTACCGGGAGCTATGTTAAGGGGATCTTTTGGGTTCCAGTTTCTCTGTTGAATGGGAGCCGTATTTTTCGAATCTTGGGATAGCATAGGGTATCCGGAGTATTTTATTCCACGATTGGCAAAATTGTTCATATTGTTTTTGATCGACAAGTTGGGCTGTGTTTTTATGGGGTTGGGATTGAATTTGGTGGGTTTTGGCATTGTCAGTGTAAATGGTGAAGCTGCTGAGGGACCTAAAAATGAAAATGTTTGATATGCTGAGACTTCCTCTAAGTATTTAGGGTAAAACGCTTACCGGTTCCCATGTTTAATGGATCATTTGGGTTCCACTTTATCTCTTGAATGGGAACCGTGAATTTCAATCCACTATTTGGAAAATTGTTCGTATTGAATTTGTTCGACATTGTCTGTGCAAAAGGTGAAGCTGCTGAGGAGCCTAAAAAGTAAAATATTTGGAATTTATATGATTGGGCTTCCTCTAACTACTTATGGTAACACTTACCGGTACCCATGTTTAATGGATCATTTGGATTCCACTTTGTCTCTTGAATGGGAACCGTGAATTTAACTCTACTATTGGGAAAATTGTTCATATTGAATTTGTTCGACATTGTCTGTCCAAATGGTGAAGCTGCAGAGGGACCTGAAATTAAAATAATTAATGGTGATATGATGAGGCTTCATCTAAGCACTCAGTGTAACTCTTACCGGTACCCATGTTAAGTGGATCATTTGGGTTCCAGTTTGTGTTTAAAATGGGAGCCGTGTTTTTCGAGCCTTGGGAGCCGCATTGCATAGGGTATCCGGAGGGTTTAACTCCGCTATTGGGAATATTGTTCGCATTGCATTTGACCCACGCGTTCGACCCTGTTGTGAAAGCGATTAATGGAGATGCGGAGACTTCCCCTAATCATTTCCTGTAAAATTCCTTACCGGGAGTCTTCCTGTAGTTTTGTGGACCCCAATGAGCTAAGCCGCCCTCCGTTTTAATGATCTTGTTTGGTTCGAAACGTATATTCGTTTTCGTTTCTGCTTAAAAATGAATTGGTTGAAATGCTGTAATCATTTGAGGAATAAATCCTTACCTGGAGGAAGCCTTTGTATCGGTTTTTGGAAAACCTTTTGAATAGGTAACTTGTTGTTTATAGTCGGCATAGATTGCGGGGCTGCATTTAACGAGTTGTTGGAAATATTTTTCAAGGGAGCCTGATTTCTGGACGTTTGTAAAGCTCTCTGAGAGGATGGCTGGATTCCCCGGTTCGGTACCACTTTTCTGGCAAGGGTTGTTTCTATAATGAAATCGAATTGTTAATGTCCTGCGATTGCCTGGATGGATTGTTAAAATAAATCCTTACCTGGAGCTCTGTTTCCGAATTGTTGTAAGTCTTTCTGAGAGGGCGGCTCAGAGCCTTTCATTAACTTGTTTGGATAATTTCTGTTGTTCAAGTTGGGTCCTATAAAGAAATCAATTCGTGAATGTGCTGCGCCTTTCGTAATGTGTAGAAAAATTCTTACCAGGAGCTCTTTTTCCGAGTGTTTGTAAGTTTCTTTGAGGGGGCGGTACGGATCCTTTTGTTACATTATTTGGAAAATTTCTGACTGTCATATTTGGCTCTATAATGAAATTAATTTGTGAAAGTCCTGCGACTGCCTGTGATGGGTATGGGTATAAAATTCCTTACCGGGAACTCTCTTACCAAAGTCTCTCTGATGGGGCTGTTCGGGACCTTTTGGAAAATTTCTGATGTTTAAGTTTGGCGCTATAATAAAATCTAATCGTAAATGTTCTGGCAGTTAATGGAAATATCCTTACCGTTGTTCCCTTTCCTCCCAGATGTTTGTAAACCTCTCTGAATTGGTTGCTTGGGGCCTTTTACTTCATTTTTAGTAACTTCGTTCGGAGCAAATTTGTTGGTCAAGTTCGTCTCTATAATAAAATCAATTCGTGAATGTCTTAAAAGTGTCTATTAAACCGTTGTTGGAAAAATCCTTACCGGGAGGCCTCTTCCCTGGCATTTGTAAGCCTCTCTGATAGGGTGGTCCTGAGTTATTTGTTCCTCTTTGAATTCCCATGTTTAACTCTACGAAAAAATCAATTTGTGAAGATTTTAAGGCTATTTTTGATAAATTGTTGCCAAAATCCTTACCTTGGATCGCCTTTTTAGTGGGCCTTTGGGAGCCTGTGATATTCACTGCCTCATTAACAACCTTCCTCGAGTTCGGTTGGGTCAATGAGCTTGAACTTGGATAGGAATTGCTAATCATATTCGATTCTACAATGAAATCGATTCAAGAATATTCTAAGACTACAGTTTTCTAGTTGTCTCAAAAATCCTTACCATTGATCACCTTATTGGTGCGCTCATTAATGGTTTTCTTTGAATTGGATTTGTTACAGGAGTTTGTGGTTGGATCAAATTTAATGGTCAAGTTTGGCTCTGAAATGGAATCGATGTATAAACGACTTGGGGCTGCCTGTAAATGGAAAATATCCTTACCATTGAATGCATTGGGTCTAGTGGAAGGGTTTGGCTCTGTAATAAAATAAAAGTAGAGAGAAGCTTTAGCTTCTAGTTGGTAAATATTAATCCTTACCACTCGCAGTCGCTTTCTTCCTGATCCGACGCTTGCCACCCTGAGTAGGCAGCTGGGGGTTTTCCTCTTCTTCTGCATTCTTTGGAATTTTCTTCGGATCGGGTTTTGTCCATGACTTGGGCTCTGGTGGCTTTGCTTGCTGTTGACCACCACCGTAAGCTATCTCATCTTGATCATCAGATTCAGAGCTGTCTTGCAACTCATCCAGAAAATCATCTTGAGTTTTTTTCGACTTTTTAGTATTTTGACGTTTACGTGCACTGGGTTTTTTTGTAGCATTTGAGACCTTTGACGTTGATGGCTGTGGGTCGTCATTTTTTCCTTTCGGGTTATATTGGTCACCAAAATTGTCATTAATGTCTGGCAAGTCCTCGGTATCTGACAAAGCTTTTGAGTTGCTAGGACCAGGATTGGGCATCGCCTTTTGTTTTCTTTGCGGAGCCCTTTTGCGATTCGGTTTGGCTTCTTCACCACCTCTTGGGGCCGTCATTGCCTTCTTCCCGGAGTTTCTTGGCATTATGAACACTCACTTTTCAGTTTATTCACTTAATTCAATTTTTTTACACTTCTTTTTCTTTTCTTTTGCGCTTTTCGTTTTTATGACCGACTTGTGAAAAATCAACGCATAGACTGAACATTTTTTTCGTGACATCGACGACAACGACTTTTATAAACCTTTATCAGCCTACTATAACTCAATCAATCAAATTAAGTTACTACAAATTGTGTTTGAAAATTAAAGCAGCGAATGCTTACTAATTAGATATAAAAAAAATACATTTGATATATAAAAATTAAACAATTTGTTATAGTTCTCGAAATACTTTTTCAAATTTGTGTTTAGTGTTACATATTAAGGGCTTCATAGCAGTCACAGAAGGCTAGCAAATTTTTTTTAAGACTGAATTGGATTAATTAATTCCTTTACAATGCAATTAAGATTACAAAGATTATTGAATAATGTTAACTTAGCTCACTAATAGTAGAAAACCTTGATTTACATTGATTTTTGCCCCATGTATTTATGTTTCTATAAATTCGGTACACCTTTAATATTTACAACCTTTAAAAAACTCCAACAAATCCCGCGAGGCAGTTGCCATAATCCAACAGCCTTTGCTGGCACATAAATTCCGGGCAAACCGTTGACTTCCGCTCCGCCATCGATCGAAGAGGGAAAGGAAAATGGTCGGAAGAAGATGGCGAAGGGTGGTGGCGGAACGGTAAATGATAATCACAAAAATGGCCTGCAACATGTGTGCGGAAATACGCGGCGCGACTTTTCCACCAAAAGAGTTTTCGCAGCCCTTTGGGCACTTTTCCTGATTGGCAGACGCCCGTCGTAGCGGCGGACCTCCGAAGTCGAAGGAGAAAAGCGGAAAATGCCACCCGTGCCTGGCAAAACTTTTCCAGGCCATTCTAAAGTTTTCAGCAGGCGGAAGGGAACTTTTTGGCTTGAGCTTGGGTTTGGGTTTGGGTTTGGCCAACTCTTGACTGTTGGCGCTTGGTTTTGTCCGCCAATAACTCAGCAATATTAAGGTTGGCACGTGCGGCCCGTTCCCGTTCTCGGTCTTGTCCCGATCCTTAGCTGGTCCTGGTCCCGGTCTCGGTCCCTTTCCGGGTCTCCTGGTCTGGCCTGGCTTGGTTCGGACTCCTTGCTCCGGGTCTCTGTTTGTCGCAAAGTTTGTGGCTCGTTAAGCAAATTCAAACGACTTAAGCGGCAACACATGTTGGCAAACAGCGGTCGATGGGCGGATGTCGTCGCTGTGTCGTCATAACTCTTGGCTGCTGCCTCACTTTGCTGCCGTTATTGCTCTAAATCGCTCATATTTGCAAAAACTATTAAATAAGCTTGATCACGGCTCTTGGGCAATGACAAGACAGTACAGGGAACCAGATGATGTACGCCGGAACACGTTGAATAGAGGGTCAGATTTGGCACTTGAACAGCCAGAATAACGCATATGTTTACTTGGAAATGAGGGGTTTTCTTTAGGACTTTGTATAGCTTAAAAATCCTTTAAGAGTTGTAATTATGAAGCTCTTTCCTGCTGTGACTATTTCACTTTATATATGGTATGCAACTTAAGAAACAAAAGACAAGACAATGCATCTAATATACCCTTAAACTAGAGTTGCTATGATTTTTTCACCACCTCCCTTTACATGACTAATTGACTTGCTTTCTCGTTCCTCTTTGCAGATCCACCTTTGGTGACATTGCGCCTGGGCTCCACTCTGACACCGGATGATATCAAGGAAGGCGACGATGTTTACTTCGAGTGTCACGTACAATCGAATCCTCAATGGCGGAAACTGTTGTGGCTGCATAATGTAGGTCGCACCACGGGTCGGGCGCTCCGGTATCCAGTCCAATCCACTCGGATCCGGCCGAGGCCAGAAACCACTAAAAGGCACACCGGGGCTGTCTGCTTGGTTGGCTCCTTGCATTCATTTCTGTTCAAGTGTCAATAACATGGCAGGTTGCGTATGCGTTGAGGTGCCTTCTCGGGGAGTCGCCGCCGATGATGTCCTGATGTACGGTATCCTCGGATGCGCTGCATTTGCTCATTTCAATTCCCGTGGTCTGTCCGCTTGTGTGTGTGGGGTGGTGGTGGTGGTGGTTTGGTCCTGGGATATGCCATTTTGGGTAAAATAGTTTTGGGATTTGCGGCATTGATTTTGCCGTCGCTCAACTGCAGTCCGCAGTTCGCTTGGCAATCACTCAGGCCAAGTTCCCACTCCATATCCTGCCCCCGGGGGGAGACAATGTTTGTGCTCGTGTGGCACTGAATTTTAGCGGATTTTGTCAAATTGAATTTCGAACTCGAGCGATTTTGGACCGGATTATAGTTGGTAGCAGTAAAAGCTGAGTGATCCATTACAGCATTATTTGTGATTTATGTATAGATTAACTGATTTGACAACGCACTAGTATAAATACTGGTTAAAGTAAATGCAATAAAGACTAGAAATGTTTAAAATTTTAGGTATATTCATTTAATTTAAGTAACTTAAAGTAGGTAGCTTAATTGGGAATGAAGTAAAAATGAAACAGTTGCATTAGTCCTAGTTTAAGGACTCTTATTTATTGTCTTGTTTTTTATTATTAACATCAAACTGATATATCTTTCTATTTAGGGCATTCATCTGGAGCATAATACATCCGCTCGGGTAATTCGTTCGAACCAGAGTCTTGTCCTTCAGAAAATCACAAAGCATTATGCTGGGAATTATGCCTGCAGTGCCATCAACGATGAGGGCGAGACGGTCAGCAATCAGTTGCCTCTAAGAGTGAAGTGTAAGTATTATTTAAAAATTAATTCATTAATTTATCTTAGCAACATTCAAGAGAAAAAACCTAATGTATAGCCACGCCCATGATCCGTAAATTGGATTGAATTCCTTTCTTTCACGTTCACGAAATCTTGAAATCTATGAAAGTGCACTTAGCTGAGTGCTCACTGATTTGACTTTTTCGTGTCCTTGCACCCCCCGCCCCCCCCCTGGCAGGACACTGTTTCTGTTTAAACAGAAATCCAGCTTCACTCCGGGCGCTGTGATGCGTCAGCGATTTTAAGCATAAATTTGCCAAGCGGCACTTTGTTTGAATGCATCATCTATCTGGCAGTGTCCTCGCTCCTCGCTCCTCGCTCCTCGCTCCTCGTCCCTCGAAAATAGTGCCTGCCACTCGGAGCCGGAGCTCGTCTGTTTTCTTATCATAAAGTCAGAGCTGCAGCCGGTCCCCCTGATACCCCTGGCCCCACCAGCCACGACTCATTTGATGTATTGCAATTTGCGTTTTTCTTCTGCTGGCTGCTCTTATTTATTTTTTTCCCCCCATTTTCTCCGGAGTCCCGGAGTCTTGGCGCAGTTGCACGTCAAGGCTGGAAAAAAATATTTTTCATTCCGCTTTTTGCATAAATACAACATTTTGCTCCGGCTCCGTTTGTCTGATGTTCGTTGCTTCACTTTCATATGCTTGCCACATGCGTTGGCTTTGGCCATATTTCATCGCAGCTGCAACTGCCGGAGGAATTGTGCTTCAATTTAACAGCCCGCGAAATGTTGCAACTTATGAGGCATCACATCGTTCGCCGGCTGCCTGCCCCTCCTCTCGCCGGCTTAAATTTAAGCAGTTTGACAGACGCCCGGGCCTGATGAGAAGGGATGATGAGCCGGGGAAGTTGCTTAGTCTGCTTGCGAGCGATACACATGTTCATCGCTGCTGCACTGCTGCTGGCTTTTCCGCAGCTTCCCCTCAGCTTGGCCGCTTGAGCCGTACAAATTGCTGCTCAACTGAAGTCCTTCGCACACAGGCACTCACATTTTGACAGGAGAGCATGGCTGTGAGCCATAAATTAAATGGAGTGCGACGCCATCGCAGTGCGCCGGGATGCTGCCACTGTCCTAGTCCTAGTACTATCTTTGGGTGTATCGGCTGCACTCGGAAATATCTAGATATATCTGCTCCCATTATAAAGTACTGCAGATATATCTGCTCCCATTATAAAGTACAAATTGGTCGAAAAGAAGGAATCTGCTATCAAATTGGAGTTTTCTTCTTATGAGTTTCAGTGGAAATATTATTGTGATTTTTTACAATATTTATAACCTTGCGGGTATTATAATTTAATTCAGAAGCTTGTTACTCTGTGAAAACGTCATTTCCGACCCTATAAATCATATATATTCTTGATCAGCATCAACTGCCGAATCAATCTAGGCATGGCCGGTTAAAAAAAAAAAGTTTGAAATTTTTTCAACTTTTTCAAAAACAGATAAGGGGTAAACATTTTCAACAATTGATCAAAATTTTAATGTTTTAAAATATTAACTAAAGTATGCAAATTTACTATTCTAATAAAAACTAACATAGCAAAGCTCTCCGAATTTAAATTATTGCTTTTTTGTCTTAGTTATGGGTTTTTAAAACTTTTGATTTGTCGAAAAAAATTTCATATGAAAATGTGGATAAATATCGATTTAAAAAGAATGCGAATATTTGAGGCTTATATTTGATCGTTTTCCGATTCGATTTTATAATTTAATTGCAAACTGTAAGGATATAGAAACTTGAGATTCCCGTAGATAGTCTCCTTTCTTGGTGAATAATAACTATTTTATCACAAAAATAAATTAAATTACTTTCCATACTTCGTTTTAATTTACATATTATTGTGCTACTTTTTTTTATTTAGTTCTGTGTTTATTTATTTCATTTTATTTATTTTTGTTTTACATATATATATTTCCGTATTAATTATCTGTAAATCTAACCCAAAGGTAAGGATCTTTTACAACATAAGAAGTGTTTTTTAAAATGAGATGAAATTAACCAAAATTAGGTTCATTAAACCTTAATTCACTATTGGAAAAAGTTTAGGAAATTAACCTAATTCCTACAATAGATGAAAGAGACTTTTAATGAGTAATAATTTGGCTGAAATTACCTTCAACTTTGAGGACAGAAACCACGTTGACCGAGACCCCAACTTGTTGCTTTTGTCCAGGGAATTGCCCACAGAGAACCTCATTGAATTTCTTTCATAATCCCACCAAGTAGGTCAGCTCGTTTATCCCACACCAGGCTTAAGAACTACTTAATTAGTAAAGCGACCAGTAATCACACCACATACTTCCCCCTCTCTCACTCTCTCGGAATGTATAATGCAAATGTCGGCAGCAACAACATCAGCTGGATGCCCCAAAATTGGGCGTAATTTTCCGGCTAATTAATTACGCCCCCACTTGGTTTTTGTGTACGTTTTTGAAGATAAACAATTCATCAGAAATTCAAGTTGTGCCAAGTTAGGCTGCGAAGAGCGAGGGGGTGAAAGTCAGTTTGAAGGACTCACCGACGACAGCAAATTACGCATACGCCACGTGTGCTGTCAGCTAATAATCCTTTAACATTTATGGAACGCCTATTTAACTGGGAAGTACTAAATCATGTTGCCACATTAATTAATTCCCCGTAAAGGGGACATGGTCCCTGCCACTCCGTTCCGCCGTCGTCCCCTTCGTCCTGTTCGTCCCTTTCGGCCTGACTGACTAATGCGGAGGCGTCACGCCCCTCCGAGGGTCCCTGCTGTCTAAATCACTTTTGTGCGTTTTTCACCTGCCACGCCCACACGCCCACACATCCAAAAAACCAAATACCTCGGCTCGTTTCCCACCGATTTTCAGAACATTTTAATGTCCTACAGCAGATAAGGTATCTGGCTTGTCATTCAACAGGTGATAGAAAGCGGAAATGTTCCATTTTACGGCCACGCTGTGTCATTTCATTGCGTCGACTTATCTTCGATTTACGTTGGATGAATCTTGGGGGAGCCTATAAATTTATACAGATATTTTTAAGACCTTTTGTTTCAATTCTTTAAAATCGTCAGTTACACAAGAAGCTCTGCGGATTTAAGATTTCTGATTACATGACAAGCTTAGCAATATAAAACCACGTAATATAGTTTGTAATTCTTCTTATATATTATGTATGAAATGTTTTCCTTAATTTTAGTATTTATTTATTAAAATTTCAGCTAATTACAATCTCTTTATTACAGACACACCCATTTGCAAGCACTCCGACCGCGTCATATTAATTGGTGCTTCCAAAGACGAAACCGTTGAGGTTGTGTGCGAGATTCAGGCCGATCCCCCACCACGGTAAGTTCCAATGAAGGATCTAAAGAGCTTCCTGTTTATCCCACATCCAACATCCCTCTCCGAACCCTAGCTCCTTCTCTTCTACTCCTCATAAAGGTTTTTGCTGCGTTGTAGGCGATTGCTTCCGGTTTCCTGTTGAAAGGAAGTTTGAAAATTGACAAATGATTGTGATTGTATGCGTGAGTGTGCGGAGCGGAAAATGCTGTTTATTTTGTAGGAAATGTGAGAAAATTTAACAATATTTCGGTTCTGTTTTTGTGTTTGTTTTGTGTCTTTCTTTACGTTCCTTGAAATTTTCGCTTTTATCCCAGTTTTGTTTATCGTTCTTTTGGACTTTAAATTGTTGATTTTAATTCATTTTAAATGTGCAACTGGCTTTGAGTCGAAGACTTAGCCGGACAGCGGCAATGTTGTTGCCCATTGCCCACTTTAATGTTTTTTTAATGAGGCCACACCACCACCGAGCCCCGCCGTCCCTGCCAGCTGCCACTCTTCCTTAGTCCTGCCTGTCCGAGTGCGTCTTGTTTTGTATTTAATTTCGCTTTTTTTTGTTTTGTTGCCGCCGCTGTGCTGTGTCTTGAGCTGACGCTTTATGCTAAAATAATTAATCATTAGCCGGCGGAAAATATGCGAGGCCGTAACCAAGGCCAAAGCCTCGACTGAGACTGAGACTGAGACCGTGGCGAGAGCAGCTGCGGCGCCGTGTAATTGTTGGGGCTGCTGTTTGCTTGGCAAAAAAAAAAAACAAAGTATCGGGAGTCCTGGCTGCGCGCCTTTGCGCGAACATTAAAAAGCTGCTGCCAGCTTTTAGGCTGAGCCCCCCAGGGAAGGGTCCCAGGGGGAGCTGTGGGGCGACAAGTTAATTTATCAGCATTTAAACGCCTGACAAGCGGCGGGGTAAAAAAATGTATTACCACAGGCACGGTAATGCATTACAATTTAATCAAAATACTTGCACAATTTCATTCAAGGACTTAAAATGCAGAGGTATGGTGTTCTCTTTAGAAAACAAAACAGGGAAACTGCAACTAAAATTTAACCTAAATCGACTTAAGTATATAGTTTTTTTTTATATAAATAAATATGTATCGCCTATTCAAGTTTTGATCCATTAGTTCCAATCGACAGGATGTCCTTCCTGAACCTTCCTTCCTTCCTCTCTGATTCAATCCCTTAGCTGGCAAGATTGGCACCCATTTCTTTCAAAGTTCAAAACATATTTGTGGACTTATAATAATTTATTGTGCAAGGTATTCCTTATTCCACTAAATAAATTAAAAAAAAGCAATTAGAAGTAGCTTAGAGAAGGCATTTATCACATTTTGTTAATAATCGATATTTTGAGGTATTTTTGTCTAAAACCTAAATAAATATTCCTGTCTAAGGTCAATTATTATTTTTAATCAAAGGAACCTTTTGCGAAAGCTTCATAGATATACCTTTTAATATTTCTACAACTCATAAAGTTTAGTTGACTTCGGGATTCCCAGCTGATACGTTCTGTGCTGTGAATTTTTACTATCTAGAAAAAGTGAGAGTGTTCTTTATTTTCCTAAATTTACTTTTAATAATTTTTTCTACTGGCAGTTCAGTCAAAAGAATAAGATATGGCTCCAGAGCCTCGTAAGGAGCCGTTGTTGCAGCCGGTGAATGGTATTGTCCAGCCACCGGTCATTCCGCCACCAAATCGACCAGGTCGCAGGACCAATGTCCTGGACTCCCTCAAGACCATGCTGACTGCCATTTGGAAAAAGCGTTGGGCTTTCCATTTCCACCACCCCGTGGACGCCAAGGCCTTGGGTGTGCCTGATTATCACACGCTGATCAAGCGGCCCATGGACTTGAGCACTATTAAGAAGCGGCTGGCCAACAAGTACTACTATCAAGCAGACGAGGCCCTCGAGGACTTCAAGCTTGTCTTTGAGAATTGTATGCTATTTAACAAGGAGGGCACTGTGGTCCATCAGGCAGGACTGGAGCTGAAGAGTTTCTTCTACAAACGTCTGGCCATGATCGATATGACCAACGAGGTTGAGGTGGCTGTTAAGGCCAAGGCCAGCAAGCGGAAGCAGACATCATCTGGAGGTCGTAAATATTCTGAGCCCTACACGCCTCCGACTCGGCCAAAGAGAGCCTTTCCGGGTGACACTGTGAAAACCAGTTTTCCCACTCTCAGATCTGATACAGTGCAAGATGTAAAACCTTTTCCACTGCCAGATATAAAACCCTTTCCACTGCCTGATATAAAACCATTCTCACTGCCTGATGTAAAACCATTCCCACTGCCTGAAGTGAAACCTTTCCCACTGCCTGATGTAAAATCTTTCCCAAAGTTTGGTAGAAAGTTTCCAGTGCTTGGTATAAAACCATTTCCAGTGCTTAAAATAAAACAAGAAAAATTATCACCGGTCCGGCTGCCAATACCACCGTCACCGTCACCGCCACCACAACCTCCACCACCGCCACCGCCACCGGCCAAGCCGCTTCCCCCGAAGATTTGCTACAAAGCCTTGGATCGGGACATCGAGCTGAGCTACTGCAAGGCGATACTTAAGATAATGGTGAAGATAAAGAATCGACACATCACTTGGCCCTTCAATCGGGCAGACCTTCGAGATCATTTTTCGGACAGTGACCATATCCCCGAGAAGGATCTCGATTGGCCCACACTGGAGGAGCATCTGAGTTCGGACCAATTCGAGAGCATGGATGGCTTCGTTGCCTTAGTTCGACAGATGTTCGATGATGGTCTTCTTTGCTACCCATTAGAGGGACTGATCAGGTCAACCATAAAGGAAGCCATCTCTCTATTCGATGCCACGCTCGGCAGTATCAAGAAATTGGTGGATGCTAAAAAGAACTTGGCCCGGGTTATGGTGGGAGAGGAGCTAAGGAAGCTTGAGGTGGCAGCGGAGCAAAGTGGCAACAAATATCCGTATTTGCTGCCACCAGGAATGATACCCTCTAAGCCCCCTGCAAAATTACCAGCACCCCATATGATTTCCTACACGGAGGTGGACCGCGATATCGAGCTGAGCTACTGCAAGGCGATGCTGAAGATAATGGTGAAGAAAAAGAATCGTCACATCACTTGGCCCTTCAATCGCGCAGATCTCCGTGACCATTTTTCGGACAGTGACCATATCCCAGAGAAGGAACTGGATTGGTCCATACTGGGGGAGTACCTCAACTCAGGGAAGTTTGAGAGTATGGATAAATTCATTGAATTGGTTCGCCAGATGTTCCGAGATGGTGCTCTTTGCTACCCATTAGAGGGACTAATCAAGTCAACTATATCGGAAACCGTCTCGCTATTTGATGCCACGCAAAGCAGAATCAAGGGACTGGTGGATTCCAAAAAGGTATTGGCTCGCGTAATGGTGGGAGAGCAGATAGAAAAGTTGCGGACTCAAGCTACTAATCCTTTAGCTCCTGCAGCTCCTCAAGCTTCGATTAATCGAGTAAAATGGAATAATTCTGATTCCCATTATGTGAGTTTAAGTTGCAGTAAGCTAGGTTCACTTTATTCCTTTTAATTTACAGGCAAGCCGCAACTATAGTTCAGATTCTGATGTATAGTTTTTGCTATTGGACGTACTTCTCCAACTTGATAAGCGACTAACTAAGTATCTTTCAAGGAAATAAATGGATCTTTTGTATATTGTAAAGGAAATATAAATAGGAAAATAAAGCAAGGAAAGAAGTAGCTAACAGCGATTGCTAAAAGTAGTTCCATTACATTTTAAGAACGGAACAAAGTTTTGGTATACATAGAAATTTTTTATTTATTTTGTAGCGTTGACTTTTGCCTTAAATGTCAAAGTATGTCAACAATTATTTCCAGCTATAAAATGAAGATGAAATGTTACATTGTTGACAGCGATTGCTTCTGCTTAAAAGTATCCCTTCTTTGGCCACTATATTTTCAGTCTCTCGTTGATTCATTTACCTTTCTCCTCTTGTCGATTTTTAAATGGATTTTCTGTTTTTATTGATTTACGTTTTATTTTTGCACTGCCCAAGATGCGAAAGCGTCCGACCGAATATGCCAGAGATAATTAACCTTTTAAAAGGCTTCCAATGTGTGTGAGCTGCTGTCTCAGGGACAGGACTCCATCCGCTCAGCGTGTGTGTGTGGGTGTGTCTGCGTTTAACCTTTAATATTTTAACGAGCTATTTTAAAAATGGAAAACTTCGCAAACATGCTTCACTCGCCGGCTCCTGCCCATGTCCCATGTCCCCGCGATACCTGTCCTTTTTCGCTGCTGTCGCTCCAACTGCCTCCTGCACACAAACACACACATACACACACACACACACTTCTGTCAAAATGTCAACGCAACTTACTCACACATGTGCCCGAAAATTTTGCAGGACATTTCGGTGGAAATTCAACAACTCGGGCGAAACTCTGGACGTGGGCAGCGAACGCTTCAGCGTGAACGGCAGCCGCAGCATTTTAAAGTACACACCGGTCACAGATCAGGTAAACACACTACGATTCGCGGCAGGCCCCACACATATATACATATATATATATATAGATATATATATAGTGTGTCCACAGTGGAGACCAAAGTCAGCTCCGGGCAATTAAGCAAGAGCCGCATTTTAAATAATAAATAAATATGTATTTGCAGGATTATGGCACACTGTCCTGCTGGGCATCCAACGAGGTGGGCACCCAGCAGCATCCCTGCCTCTTCCAAGTGGTCCTAGCCGGTAAGTGTCACCAGGAATGGGATGGGGGAATTGAAGAGGTCAACCTTGGGGTTTATGCAAAATAGAAATCTAGGGAAATTAGAAACTAAAAGATACAGTTTTCGAAACTAACCCAAAATGCTAGGGAGTATTATATGCAACTATCTATTACATAGATTGAATTTTTGACTTTAAAACCAAATGAATATATTCCTTAAAATAATAAGTAATCCAAAAACAGAACTTCTCTGCATATAATAGTTTTGTGGTTGCTTCATAATCCAAAGTACTCTTCCAGTAATTCTTTTTACCTTCGTTAAGGAATCCTTTCAGGCTCAGTTATGTCAAGGAAAAATCCCCGCATGAACGTAAACTCGATCCTTTTGGGTCTTTTCCTTGCCGTCGGTTGTGCTTGTCGTTGCTTCATTACGTGCAATTTGACCTTAACATGTTAATGCCGCATGCAAACACAGACACTGGGCCCAGAACTCCACCTGGGGGCAAACATCCGGACGGTCAAACAGACGGACCACAGTCCCTCCCATACCAAAAACCAGTAAAATCAGAGATGGGCCATTGTGCAGTTCGGATGCTCCGAGGCAGCTTGGGGCGGGATGGGATTCCATGCTGGAAAAAAGAACAAATGATCATGACTCCCCTCTTTGTCTTTTCCTGGTTTCTGGCTACTGCTGCTGCTGCTGTTGCTGCTGCTGATGTTGCTGCTGTTGCTGCTGCTGCTGCTGCTTGTTAATTTCCTGCGTAACGTGGCCCAACATAAATCTGATTCCTCGATGGCGATATGTGGATGTGCCTGGGCATGTGTGCGGATTGCAAATCCCATACGGACTCCGATTCCAATTCTGATTTCGATGGCAGCCCTACCGAATGCCGTCAGCAACTGTACCGTCTTTAACCGCACCGAGCTGAGTGTTGACATCCAATGCATACCGGGCTATGACGGGGGCCTGCCGCAAATATTTGTGCTCGAAATGTTTTCAACACGCACCGGCATCACCAGGTAAGCATATTAATCAACTATAACTACAACTGCCAACGCCCATATCCGGGAACAGTGGCCAGTGGCCACTGCCCAACCCCCCTTTTTGGGTCTTGATTTTAAGCCCCTTATGTCCGGTCCTGGGAGCCGTGAGCCCCCGTTTGACCCCGGGGCTCAGATATGGGGCATATGTCAAACAAATGGCTCCATATCGTTTCAGGCATACACAATTCGCATTCATATATGTGTCCTTGGGCCTTAAACCCCGGGAGTGTAATATACATCGACCATATACAAGGTTTTAATCAAATAAAGCATAGGCTCCATCAGCTAGGAACTTGTCTTTGAAATGGGTCTTTGATTTGATTTGTAACATTTTTGTATAAATTACTCTTAATTTTTAATAAGAGTTCATGAGAGATTTATAAACTCAGCTTAGATTAGTATCTAAAAGAGTGGTTACTTAAATCAAACCCACCCTCAGTTCATCAAGTTAGCTTCGATAAGACAGTAGTAATAAATTCATGTGTCTCTTCGTCTCTGGTTGTGCGTTTAGTTAAACACCTTTCCGCCCCAAAGCCACACCAGTCGGCGGTATGTGTCTGCTTCTGACACCTCTCCACAATGACATGAGTAGTACCAGCATCATTTTATTCAATAATAGGAGATAGTTCGGGCTCAGCAGGCACGCGATAGCAGTGGGCTTCTCGGAAGTGGGCTTCGAGTGCTTTCACCTCATAGGATATGTATAAAGCACTTCGTGTAGGTGTGTAATTAGGCGTGAAACAGCCAGCTCTTGGGCAGGAAATGTTTGTCTTTAAATGGGCCCTCAAGCCATTGAATTCATAGTGGGCACTAAACGTGTGTGTGTGTAGGATGGTTGTGTATGCACATGTTATGGAAATGGGAAATCAAATTCATATGCGCACATAACATTATGGGATAGGGTCGCCTTTATTCCGTTTTATTTTCTTACGCATAAATTTGTGCCAAATATTCGGCCTGAATATCTGAGCGAGCAAGAGGCATCTAATAAATATTTCTTATTAAAAACAAAGACATCATCAAAACAAAACAAAACGAAATATCGAACACAAAAAAGGGGGGAAAGGAAAACATGAAAACCCACATTGAAAAGCGGAAAACGCAACAAACATTGCCATCAAATGTTTGGCCAAAATAAATATAGACATCGAACCCTAATATTTCAGAACTTTTCAAGGAAAAGGATTCCCGGGCAGACAAGTCAAAGCCGCATAGCCGCATTCGCCGGCAAAAGGCATCAAATTCAAATTGAGGTCATGATTGGAAAGAGCGCATATCTCAGGATGGGAAAAGTGCTTGGGGTTAGGAAAACATGCCAGCGGAAAACCCGTAAAAATGCCAAAAGAAAAGGGGACTGGGGCCTGTGCCAGAAAGTATTTGTGGCAACGGCTTCTGTTCGGTCCGCACATTTGATTAAAGGCTTAATGCCCTCGATTTCCTGGCCATTTCGTTTGATTTAATTCGCAATCATCTCGGTCCTGACTGTCAATAACGCTGATTCTGATGCTGATGCTGATCCCTTTCCGCAGATTCAATTTGAGCAACGCCGAGGAGGCACTCTTCTCACTGGAGAACCTGGACACGCTGACCTCGATGATGGTCCAGGAGAACAACTCACTTCGGCTGCGCATCTACTCGTACAACCAGAAGGGCCGCAGTGCCGCCTATCTCCTGCCCGATTTCATAATTGGCTCAACAGCTTACAAGACAGGTGAGTGGCACTCCCAGCCGCCAAATGGCGTTGCCGAAAAACGGGCAATTCGCAGCCCTGATTGATGGATGATGGTCGGATGCTTGGATGCTTGGATGCTGTGCCTTTGACAAGCCGCTCAAGAGCGTCTCACTCTCTCATCAGATGGGGAATTATTTGGCCCGGTCCTTGATTTGCCTGCTTGCATTAATCCCATGCAGGAAATGGGCCTCGTACCCAATCCATGTCCTCCAACCTATGCCTGTGACACCTGACAGGTGAGCGAGCGAGTGAGGGAGCTCCTCTGCCAGTCATCTGCAGTGCTTACGTAATCAAAATTCCAACCTGCAGCCTCCTTCCATCATCCAAGTGCGTAAAATATGTGTAAAATTATTTCCTGACAAGCAAGACTTTTGAACAGTGATCTTTATAAATATGATTGCTCCTAAGTAAACCACTATTTACCTTTAATGTGTATAAAGTGAGTCTCTTGTATATAGGTTAAAACGCAAACCAATTCTATTATAAGAGTATATAGTGAATATCCTTCCACTGTCTGCTCATCCAATTAATCATTAATTGTCCTCAAACCATGGCTGTCTCTTGAAACCTGTGACATATACATGCTCTTCTCTGGTCTTTTCATTTTCATGTGAATTTTGTACGCTAAAAATAAAACCGTCAACTGCCGACAAATTTAACCGTCGGAACCGAATGCCTTAACTACCACTTCCATCGGCAATCAATTTGATGCGTGGATATGTGCTATTGCGATGGCGTTGTCATACTCGTTCTCATTCCCTTTCCGGTTCCTGTTGGCGTTGGCGTTACCTTGATGGCAATCTATCTAAAACACGATGATGATTTATGAACGGTGATTGTCAACCTGTAATTACGCGAATAACAACAAACAGACGACGATGTAACACTGACATTGTCGCCGGTGATTGTCGGCAGTGTCCTGACCATCATAATTATTGGTGTCGCCATCGCGATACGTATATTCGTGGTGACATTTGTGCACAATTTGCGGCGGAATCGCCATCATGGCGGAAAAGCCACCACCGCCGGAGTAACAGCCCAGCCGGGCGATGTCTTCAAGGTGAGTTGGATGGCGAGAGTATCCAATATGGGAACTGGGATAGTACATTTCCCAGACATTTTACCGAGCAATTAATGTACGTATTATTTTGTCGTTGAACGTTGTCCATGCAGGGCGGTAACTTGGAGAAGCCACGATGGCAGCACACGGACATAAAAACGAAATCATCCG